GTATTTTGGCGACTGCATGGCCCTCTGCGCCTCCCTGGGGTCGCCCCGAGGTAGAGGAGAGCGAGCGAAGGGCTGAGGGGAGGGCGGCGAGGGCGTGCGCGGGCGGGAAGGGGCCGAAATGAGGGCGAGTCCAGCCCCCCGAGGCCCAGTGACGGTCATTTTGTGAGCAACAAAAGGGGAGAAAAAGGGGGGTTTATTTATCTCGGCTTTTATTATCTTTCTTCTCCTTGGACGGGGGCTGCTCTCCCCTCCGCCGCTCTCCCAGGGGGCTCTGGGGGAGGAGACCAAGGCTGGAGAGGCAGTGTCGCTTCGCCAGTGGCTTATAAGTCGTATTTTTTGCGATTTTTTCTCTCTCTCGGTCGCAGGGTGTCCGTCCAAAGGGTGATTTTGCTGCCAAATTCTCGCTCGTCACCCTTTTTCGGGGCCGAGGGAGGGCGGGCCAATGCTCCTGCGCCCTTAGCCCTTTGCCCTTGCGCCGCCCTCAGGGGAAGGGGAAGGCTCTGAGTTATTTTAATTTCGGGGAGGAAGACGTAAACTCGGGCTCCGTTTCTTTCTCGTTTTCGTGTCTTAAGGTGAAACATTTTTTGGAAGGGGGGGAGGAGGGGGAGGGAGACCAGATACTGAGAATTCTTTTAGAGTTTTGTTTTGCTCTCTTGGTTGTGTTTTTGATTTATTAGAGGGAGGAGTAGGACTTAAATGTTAGTGCATAGGCCTATATTTTCTCCTTTTCTTATTATTTGCCTTTTGTTATTATTTTATTATTATTATTATTATTATTTATTTTCTTATTATTTTCTTATTATTTATATATTATTATTTTATGGATTTTCTTTTCCTAGTTCACCTCCTGCAGGGGATAGAAGGTGGTCCTGCAGGTGGCACGTCAGGTGGCGGCCAGGTGGCGGTGGGGGGGGTTTGGGCGGCACTTGGACGGCTAAGGTGCTGGGGGGGGATCTTTTTCGCTCAAGGGAAGTCAGTTGAGGTTGATTTTTAAGTTCAGGAGTTTCTTGGAAGATAGGTTGTTCTTGGACGCCTTTGTTTGTTTTTGTTTTTTTGTTTTGTTTTATATGACATGCGTCGAGATTGTGCGGGTGTTTGGGTTCTGCAGAGCTGGGTTGTTGCGTCCGTTGCAATTGTTTGTTTTTCTCTCGTTCTCCGGGATTTTTTATTATTTTTTGGAATTCTGCCTTCTTGGAAATGAAGTTTGTGTGCCTGGGGAAAGGTTATTGATTTTGACAGCAATTATGCACAGGAATTGGTCTGTAAATATAAGGAAGTTGTGGCATGTATATTGATTTTTTACATTTTTTTTAGTTTGTTAAAGTATTGTAGGGATTTATTTACCCGTAATTTTCTTTTGTTGGTTTGATTCTAGTGGGGAACTATAACAAAGAAATTTATTTTTATACTCGTTCTTGGTGAAACTTGCAAGGAAGGAGTGAAGTGAATTGTTTGTTTATAGAAGAATTTGACATTTTCCTACGACAATGAGTTTAATTGTATATGCATATTTTGTGATTTTTATCTATCTATGTCCTGGAGAATTTTGCTTTTGGAATGAATGTTCAGAATGAGTTGTGTTCATAAGAAACCTGTTGTGGTTTTCAAAATCAAATAAGACATTTTCGGTCTTATGTTGTCTATATTCTTTCCACTTCTAGTCAAAACTTTCTGTGATTGTGATGAACGGCCTAAAATCTCGGAGACCAAGCCAATCATAGCATAATGTTGAGCAATCACCATGACGACTGTGCGTGTGTTTTAGCAAAAACTAGCAGACCTCTGACACATATAAGATAAAAAGATAGAACTCAAATTATTGAATTTTTTGGTATTTGTTGCTGAGAGCAAAGCACTCTCCAGAGACGAATATCCAAATCCTGGGTATCATGTGAACCCAAAATTCCGAACCTAACCTTTTGTACTTTCTGTTTATAGCCTAGATATGAGGGCAAACCCCCTGTAGCCCCCCCCCCCCTCTCTCTCCTATTATTAGTGCATTGTGCCAAATTACAGAAAATGCAAAATTTAGAACTGTGGTTGTGTGAGGGTGTTGTGGACTTTGTGTCTGAGCGGTGACATGTAGGGGATATTTTTGTCATTTCGCTTTGAATAGGAGGTTACTGCAGCTGTACCCAAGTTTTTTATGACTCTTTTTCTAATGCTTTATTAGATAGCAGTGTCCATTTTCCTCCACCTTTGTGCATCACTCTCGGTAACATTAACCAATTTTTTTTATAATATGTCACTTTGAGGTTAGTAAGCTGTCTTGCTGGAATAAACCTATTAGAATTGCATTGGGGGTGAGGCTTGGGGCAAATTACTTAGAGTGAATTGCCGGGGGAGGTTTGCATGCTCTGTTTTGCCCAAAATGCATGGTGGAGGCTTGGAATCCTTTCCAGAATTTAGTTTTATAGTTTGAGATGGAGGAGTAGGGTAGAGTTGTAAAAATCTTCACCAAGTAAAATACCTTAACCTATTCACAGTATAAAGTTCTGAATAAAGTTTAAAGTTTTGGGAGGCCAGGAATGGGTTAGAGAGAAAAGTTTTTTTTTTACATTTTATTGCTAAAATTGTGTATGTGTGTATGTGTGTATGTGTGTATGTGTGTATGTGTGTATGTGTGTATGTGTGTATGTGTGTATGTGTGTATGTGTGTATGTGTGTATGTGTGTATGTGTGTATGTGTGTATGTGTGTATGTGTGTATGTGTGTATGTGTGTATGTGTGTATGTGTGTATGTGTGTATGTGTGTATGTGTGTATGTGTGTATGTGTGTATGTGTGTATGTGTGTATGTGTGTATGTGTGTATGTGTGTATGTGTGTATGTGTGTATGTGTGTATGTGTGTATGTGTGTATGTGTGTATGTGTGTATGTGTGTATGTGTGTATGTGTGTATGTGTGTATGTGTGTATGTGTGTATGTGTGTATGTGTGTATGTGTGTATGTGTGTATGTGTGTATGTGTGTATGTGTGTATGTGTGTATGTGTGTATGTGTGTATGTGTGTATGTGTGTATGTGTGTATGTGTGTATGTGTGTATGTGTGTATGTGTGTATGTGTGTATGTGTGTATGTGTGTATGTGTGTATGTGTGTATGTGTGTATGTGTGTATGTGTGTATGTGTGTATGTGTGTATGTGTGTATGTGTGTATGTGTGTATGTGTGTATGTGTGTATGTGTGTATGTGTGTATGTGTGTATGTGTGTATGTGTGTATGTGTGTATGTGTGTATGTGTGTATGTGTGTATGTGTGTATGTGTGTATGTGTGTATGTGTGTATGTGTGTATGTGTGTATGTGTGTATGTGTGTATGTGTGTATGTGTGTATGTGTGTATGTGTGTATGTGTGTATGTGTGTATGTGTGTATGTGTGTATGTGTGTATGTGTGTATGTGTGTATGTGTGTATGTGTGTATGTGTGTATGTGTGTATGTGTGTATGTGTGTATGTGTGTATGTGTGTATGTGTGTATGTGTGTATGTGTGTATGTGTGTATGTGTGTATGTGTGTATGTGTGTATGTGTGTATGTGTGTATGTGTGTATGTGTGTATGTGTGTATGTGTGTATGTGTGTATGTGTGTATGTGTGTATGTGTGTATGTGTGTATGTGTGTATGTGTGTATGTGTGTATGTGTGTATGTGTGTATGTGTGTATGTGTGTATGTGTGTATGTGTGTATGTGTGTATGTGTGTATGTGTGTATGTGTGTATGTGTGTATGTGTGTATGTGTGTATGTGTGTATGTGTGTATGTGTGTATGTGTGTATGTGTGTATGTGTGTATGTGTGTATGTGTGTATGTGTGTATGTGTGTATGTGTGTATGTGTGTATGTGTGTATGTGTGTATGTGTGTATGTGTGTATGTGTGTATGTGTGTATGTGTGTATGTGTGTATGTGTGTATGTGTGTATGTGTGTATGTGTGTATGTGTGTATGTGTGTATGTGTGTATGTGTGTATGTGTGTATGTGTGTATGTGTGTATGTGTGTATGTGTGTATGTGTGTATGTGTGTATGTGTGTATGTGTGTATGTGTGTATGTGTGTATGTGTGTATGTGTGTATGTGTGTATGTGTGTATGTGTGTATGTGTGTATGTGTGTATGTGTGTATGTGTGTATGTGTGTATGTGTGTATGTGTGTATGTGTGTATGTGTGTATGTGTGTATGTGTGTATGTGTGTATGTGTGTATGTGTGTATGTGTGTATGTGTGTATGTGTGTATGTGTGTATGTGTGTATGTGTGTATGTGTGTATGTGTGTATGTGTGTATGTGTGTATGTGTGTATGTGTGTATGTGTGTATGTGTGTATGTGTGTATGTGTGTATGTGTGTATGTGTGTATGTGTGTATGTGTGTATGTGTGTATGTGTGTATGTGTGTATGTGTGTATGTGTGTATGTGTGTATGTGTGTATGTGTGTATGTGTGTATGTGTGTATGTGTGTATGTGTGTATGTGTGTATGTGTGTATGTGTGTATGTGTGTATGTGTGTATGTGTGTATGTGTGTATGTGTGTATGTGTGTATGTGTGTATGTGTGTATGTGTGTATGTGTGTATGTGTGTATGTGTGTATGTGTGTATGTGTGTATGTGTGTATGTGTGTATGTGTGTATGTGTGTATGTGTGTATGTGTGTATGTGTGTATGTGTGTATGTGTGTATGTGTGTATGTGTGTATGTGTGTATGTGTGTATGTGTGTATGTGTGTATGTGTGTATGTGTGTATGTGTGTATGTGTGTATGTGTGTATGTGTGTATGTGTGTATGTGTGTATGTGTGTATGTGTGTATGTGTGTATGTGTGTATGTGTGTATGTGTGTATGTGTGTATGTGTGTATGTGTGTATGTGTGTATGTGTGTATGTGTGTATGTGTGTATGTGTGTATGTGTGTATGTGTGTATGTGTGTATGTGTGTATGTGTGTATGTGTGTATGTGTGTATGTGTGTATGTGTGTATGTGTGTATGTGTGTATGTGTGTATGTGTGTATGTG